TCCAAATATACTACTGACAAACAAAAAAGAATTTGTATTCACTCTCGGAATAAGACAATGAAATGTAGCTAGCTTAACCATGTGCTTATGAATTATATATACTTTATAGATCTTTTTACAGTTCAAGTTTGATCTTCTATGTGGTTGTTCAGTATGTAGTTGCTAATAACCATACTTTCAGAAACAATTGCCTATGGGTCTGACAACGATAAACCTCTGGTTGACAGGGGCAATACTTCTGGTGTTTCTGCGAAGCCATCATATATCCGTGCCAAAATGTACTGTTCTGTTGTCATTTCTTTTGCAGCTTATTTAACAATTGTAGACGCAAAATTAGTTATAATTGTAAGATAACTTTTACGACTGGATTGTTTCACAAGTAGCTTTAAAGGAAAATGTTAAGCAAATTAAATACATAATCATAGTTGTATGATAACCAGTCTGTTTTTAGATTGCGTATCAGCCAAAAGCCTTTTGCGTCTTTTACTCTACACACAGCCTGGTTACCTGCATTCAATCAAACCTGCTTAACAGTGATTGGTCAACGCTACTTGGACTATAAACCAAAAACATTTACGATGCCAAGTCTTGTTATCTTTTTATTAAACATCCTAAATAATTTTTATTTAGCCTTTATTTATACAGGTGTAAAATCTCATTGAGACACAAGGTCTCATTTTCAAGAGAGACCTGTGACTGTGTGTGTGTAATGATTTAAAGTTGTAATTTAGTGGAAAGATAATCATTTTGACTTGAAGTGACCGACAGTTCAGCCTATCCAACAGATCAGTTTGTCAGTGAAAAATATCCGTGTTGCTCTGAAACCCTCCAGGATGTTAACGCAGTGGAAAGCGGTGGTCCTATGGAGTAACTTGTTAAAAAAAGCTTTACTGGACAGGATTAGACAGAGGAGCTCACTTTTACTTTCACCTTACAGACACTCTTTTTATTTGTACACATAATGCAGGCCGTACACACAAACGCAAGTTGGGAAGTGCTCAACTCAAAAAGTGCCGCTGCATTTGACCCTGTGCCTTCTTTAAGTGCTTTGAGTACCTGATACCTAGCACAGTTTATCTCAAGCTAAATGTTGTGATGTAGAATTTCAACATTTTCTATCTTACAGTGATCCTGCATATAGTATGTGAATAGTCTGAGCAGCTCCTAAATGCACACAAGGTGAAAGCAGTAATAATGTGGAGAAGCATTGAGATGGAAAAGTTTGACATCCGTATTTGTGAATGCTCCTTCCTCTCCCCTCCCTCTCCTCTCGTTCTTGTTCTCTCTCTTCCCCTTTATCAGCGGGTGAATCAGAGTAACAGATGATTGTGCGGTTTGTGTGGGACAGTCTCAGGGGGGAGTTAAAAGAGGGGGGGAGCACATTCACAGACTAAATTAGTGAAGAATGGAAAACCTTTTAGACTTTCTCTTCTTTTTTGTACGCGTTTTCTGTTGCCTTGTCCTCGTTCCTTTCCAGACCGCTGCGTATTTCCTCCTTGAGTGTTGTGGCCTCCTCCTCCACCTCCTCCTCCTCTCTGTCACCCCATGGCCATCACCTCCTCTACACAAAGAGCTCTGTGGTATCATTAACTGCCCACTCTCTACCTACTCAAATATGTTTCAGTGTTTGATGATGGTCTTACACATGATCATTTGAATGATTTACACAGAGCGTATTGAAGGTTGTGGACACTTCAGGTATTGTTGAAGGTAATACAAATGTCCAAAAATAAATGTCCCCCTTTCAAAACCACAAGGCTGTACAAAACTTTTGTAAAATCCACTATGTACACTTTTGCAATCTTTCCCAGTAGGAAATGATGCGGTGAAGAATATCAAACCAATCAAGTTCTGTTTACTGCTTCACTCTGAGATAAAAGTATTTCAATTCACGGAAAATATATTCATGGGGTTCTCTTTTCAAGAGAATGTACGAAGAAGTTCTTGGTATTTGAGATAAATTCCATAATAGTCAATGGAGTTATTTTGTGATGTGAAATATCCTATTGTGGCTCTCACTGGGATAGTTAGAGGACACTTTCACTTTCTTTAAATAAAACCAAAGTAATCAATTGCAATGCCGTTTCGTACCTTTGTCTGTTCTGTTCTCATAAACGTCCACTTGAGGATGATCTGACTACATTGTCAGGGTCAAAGGTTACTGAGACCGTACATTCAGCAATAATGGGACATTATTTTGATTGGATTTCCTCAGATTAGGGACAAACGTCCATCTGGCCTCAAGAATGGACTGATAAGGTTACACATTTTTAGACATGAATCAAGAATTAATCTAATATTGATGACGATGTCACACACGTGATGACATTTGGGACAGACAATGATGTCAACTGTAACTGGACAGGAATGTTGCCCTGTTAGAAAGCATCATGATGACATGTTTGATTATCTTTAAAATGTTGAATGAATGCTTCATCTCTTTTACCGTTAACCCATTGAACCAGAGATGACATGCACCACAACGATACTTCATCTTCTTAGACGTCAGCAATTACCAATTATGTTTACAGGCAAGGAAATCTGTTCATGTCACTTGCTGACAGCAGAGAGTTCATGAATATTAACAATAGTTGCACCCCAGACAGAAAGTCTCCCTGCATCACTTTGCTTGTCAGATAGCGTTAGCTCCTAAATCGTATCTGTGAAAATGGGTCTGACACTTCTGTCTGTTGGGAAAGATGAGAAGGAAGAATGAGGCTTGCTGAAAAGAGGACAGAGATGGATAGATTTTCTGTCCGTCATCTCAGAATTAATTAGGAAATGGTTCATTGTATTCTTATAAAGTATCCTTTGTGGGTATTTTAGGCCCTGGCTGCTCCTAGCCCTTTTATATTCTCTACTAAATGTGTAATGTATGAGTGCTTATCTTTGTTCCATGCTGCTCTGCACTGTACAGCAGATGAGATGAACATTGCTGTAGTTGTCTAGTGTTTATCTTGTTCTAAGGACTGTTGTGGTTCAGGTGTTAGAATGAGTCATCCATTAATCCTGGGGCGGTCTGATCCATGACACCTCCTCCACATTTCATGCCCCCAACGCCAACATGCTCCAGATGAGGAAGCAAGTGCCTCACATCACAGGTCGGCTGTCATTAATGTGTTAGAGTGTGTATGCATGGGTGAATTAAAGCCTTATAAATATCTCAGTGGGCGGCTTGGCTGTCTGGTAATCCTCCAAGGTCTAGACTCAAATATCTACACTTCTGTCGACTCACTTTTCTCCATTCATTTTATTAGGGTTCATTTCAGATGAATCCAAATGACTTTGATAGAAGTCTCAGATTTGTTTCTGTCTAGTTTGCGATTGATCTGTAGAGTTCTTCAAAGTGCACTTTACTTTGCATCTATGAAGTTCTACATTTAATTAGAATTTGCATCGAAGACAAGTATTTAAAGGCTGAAGCCACGGTGCTGCTTTATTAGGTTTGTTGTCATCTCACTGTCTCATATAATGCAGTGTCACCTTCAAATAGTTGTAACTGTAGCTCTGAATCCATATGCCGAGATTTGGAAATACAACTTGAGCTGTGACCCTGAACTTGGCCATGTGTCTTCAATGGCTTGGAAGACACCTCCTCCTTTGATAGTTGTCTATTCAGGTTAGAGAGAGAGAGAGAGAGAGAGAGAGGGGGAGGGACAGAGAAGGAGTGTGAGAGAGAGATCCCACACTGCTAAACACCAGATTGGTCTCGTCTGGCTCCTAGACAAGCTTTTCAAACTCTTTTTTCACTCCTCTCCCTAAGACATGCTTTCTTCTCTCCCTTTCTCCTCTCCCTCTAATCCGTCCTTCTGCCTATTTAGAGGTGAACAGCACAGCATGAAAGAGAGAGAAAGTGTTTTTTGTGTGCTTGACGGGTAACCCTCGCCCTTTTGAAAAGGCAAACAGGGAAAAGCTGCCATTACGACTGGCATGAAGGGATCTTAAGACAACGGCCTTTTCTGCCACTTTATTAGCACTGTCGAGACTAGTGCAGCACTGCTCCTCTTTCACCCCTCTCTTTCTCCATCACTCCTCTGTCCATGTTTCATTCCATGAGCCTGACATCCAAAAAGCATGCTGGGTAATTAATGGGGTTGCTAGGGGTTAGACTGGCCACTGTTTTAGCCCTAATTTAACACGCTTCCTCCTGCACTGCTGCTCAGGTGATTGTTGTTATGTTTTGCAGATTGCCACCTCTTTCCCAGGCATATGGATATTATGAGCAAAAATACAAGTAATGTTTAGATAACGGGAAGAGGAGGGGATATTGTCAAAGGTCATTTCCCGTTTTGTTACTTGGGGGTCGAGGGGGGGCAGCTGAAAGGAAAAGCAGAGGAAATATGGAAGTTGAAAACATAACAAGCAAGCATAATGTCTGGATGGAGATTGGGGAGCGTGGGAGCTAAGGTGGAAAGAATCTGATGAGGTGTGTGTGTGTGTGTGTGTGTGTGTGTGTGTGTGTGTGTGTGTGTGTGTGTGTGTGTGTGTGTGTGTGTGTGTGTGTGTGTGTGTGTGTGTGTGTGTGTGTGTGTGTGTGTGTGTGTGTGTGTGTGTGTGTCCATCCAAACAATGGTGCTGTCATTGTCCTATGTCGGGAGATGTGGTCATTAAAAGTTGCAATCAGAATCATTTCCGTCTAAAGTGCAAATATGGTCTGTCATAAATTTGCACACCTTCTGAACCAATCCCATCAAAAGTCTTTACAATGTCTCCCCGTCTCACTGTTGTGCATTAGTCACTACAGTTTATATTTGCAAAATACCAAGAGCTATAGCACCTCTCACAGCTTCAGTGTGGACTCAGGAAGCAAACTGGCCTTATCGGGGGCAGACACACAAAGCTGTCCTGGCTGTGGGGTGGCGAGGTATGCAAAAGAGCATGTGTGTGTGTGTGTGTGAGGGGGGGGTGGCGGTAGGAGGCACTTCCTCCTATTCTTCTGCTGTGGAAGAGTTCCCATGAGCGCCCCTGCCAGGAGCTACAGTGTAGCCTGAGCAGGCCGAGCCAGCGCCAGTCTCGCCTGCATGACGCCGACTCACACAGCCGAGCTCAGGAGCTACTGAAACTGCTGCTGCCGCTCAAACCACAGGGCGAGAAGCGCGACCGTGGTAACAGGATAGAAATAATTTGAGTGTGAAAAGTTGAAGGAAGGAAGAAGTTGGGAGGATTGAAGTGAAGTTTCAAACAAGGCAAGATGAAGACATGCAGTAGTTGAGAGCAGGTACGGATGCAACACTGAGCATTATTGACTGGACTCATTAAAAGGAACCTTGAATGGATAACACTGCATCTGGAGGACAGTGGCGGAGTGACGCCGACTTTGAAGAAAGGACTGTTTCCAAGAAACTTGAATTTAAATTAATTTGCGGGAAGAGGCCAGTTTGGCTGAAAAAGTCTCCAAGGACACGTTTTTTTCACACTCGACGGATTCCTGTCTATTTTCCAGAAAGGTGAGACACCATATTTTTATCTAGAGCCACAATTCATCCTGACTGTCACCTGGAAACTGGACATTTTGAAAACTTCAAGACCAAAGCCACCTTCAGACTTTTTTTGGGCAGCTGTCACTGTTATGATGTTTCATAACACACTTAAGTCCAACGAGCCATCGGAGCATAGCCCCAGGACCACACACTCCGCTGCACAGAGGAGGCTGTGGAGATACTCGGGCTGCAGGAGGGCCGGACAGGTGGAGAGTCACCGTCGCAGCGTGTGTGTACTGGCTGCAGACTTGAACGGTGGAGAAGGACAAAGAGGAGGAGGTGGAGGTGTGATACACACCATCCACGGGCTGTGCCACCTCTGCATCGGATGTAGGCTGCCTCAGGTGTGTCTTTGTTTCAGAGAATAGGGGACAGGGTACATCAATCAACCGGTGATTGTGAGGAAAAAAAAAGTTAGAAAACTATCGTTAACCACTGCTTTCGTAATTAATTGCGAAAGATGAATTACATTTCATAATTCATGAATCTTCACCGGTCTAGTCGGCTGTCATCGTGTCGGAAAACCAAAAGTGTAGGCCTAAAATATGTGGGTATATCTGTGTTTGAACACCATCAGATCCTAATATTTCACTTTGACTGTACAGCTGAAATTGCACTTTGGACAGCATGTCCAAAACATCCGGAAAGGAATAACTGGCTGTGTTTTCTTCCGAGTCGAGAACAAGCTTTTGTGTCCTCTGCATTATTTATAGTTCACATAGTGAGAGAAAGATATCAGGAGTGGAAGAGAGGAGACACACGTTTGCTATGATATGAACTGATGCCACTCTCCTTACATAAGACCCTTTGTGCACATCTGCATTGCATAAGAAATCAGGATAACACAGTTTTAAGAAAAATGTAATATTATTTCCTTTAGGTGGAAGAAAATCTCAAAATCTTTAAATATTTTGAAGATACAAAAATAAGAAGGTTAACATGACAAAAATACAGACTAACAATTAAGTTGTGTGTGTGGTGTGATGTCTAATCTTTGAGAATACCCTCTTGATATCATAACTTAACCATTATGTATACAAGAATGTTGGTCATACGTTTGATTTAGTTTATGCTGGACTGTCTGCCGTAAATAGAACCTTTACAGAACTGACAGAAAATAGACACGACATGTTCTGTTTTCATCAAATCATCAGACACTGGCGTGATTCATGCACTGTCTGAAAGCATGTAGCTCTGAGGCATGAATGTGAAAAGGGGAAAGTTGTCCCACAAGCGTGAACACATACTGTTCACACCAGATTTTCCTCTAAATTCATTACAAGAAAGCTGAAATCTTACTCATTAGTCTAGTCAGTTCCGCCACAGTCCCTTTGACTGAATTATTAATTATCAATAAGGCCATGCTAATACAATTTAAATATTTAATCTGTGTTTTTCACATTAATTCGTCTTTTCAGTAATACATCTTAAAAGTCCCTTTTTTTTTAAAAAGACGTTCATACTGATTTCTTGCATTGTTCCCAGGCTAGTCTCCTCTTTTCTTTAAACATGGTAAAGTAATGCCCCTGCTTTCATTCAAAGTGGAAAAAAGGAGCATGGGACTGCCTCTCCCAGACCAGAGGAGTCCAAGTGGTTGGACTCAACTCTGCTTACAAATTAAATTAATGCTGAAAAGGCTTTGGAGTTTGGATGAATTGGCCCAATTTGGGCAGCTCTAAGAGTTGGACACAGTCTCTGAAACAGCGTTCAATTCAGACAGACAGACAGAGTAGATAGACAGAGGCAGATGGAACAGTCGTGATGGATTGTTGTCTCTCTCACTTTTGTTAATTTTAAGTCACAGTCTTTGCTTTTCAATATTTTCTTTCACATATCAGTTTTCAAGCTCATCCATCAAAATGCTCCATGTCTGCTTGTTGTTTTTCTCCGTTATTTCCACTCAATGTTTTTTTCTTCATACTGTACCATCTGTTCTATTTGTCTGTCATCTGCTCGGTCTAAAGTCCAACTGCCCTATGTTACTCATTTTTTATCTTTTTTTTGTATCTCTTCTATCCTTGTTTATTATCTTTACCTACTGTACAGTCAGTTTCTGTATATCTTTCCTTTCTCTATTTCTGTCACACAACCAAGGCAAGGATGACTAGTGTAAATCCATCCGTCCTTAAAATAAGAATATACACACAGTGCAGAGAGTACATCTTTGCAAGTATAACACGGTTAATCAAGTTTCTAATTTCTACATTACAGCAGGTGACAACATCAGCAGGCTTTCTGTAGAAGGACAATTGTTCAATAGCAGTGTCAGAGACTGAAACAGAAAGATTTGAAAGGAGGAAAATATGATAAAATAATTGTTGCCTCAAACGCCGTGACACGGGGCACATCAACTCATTGGACTAAAAGAAACTACAATTATATCCGACATTTTAGGGTCGTCATAAGCTTCAGGCCCCCGAATAGTCTTATTACGTCAAGTCTCTGCTTTTGGCGCATGGGTAAACTGCCAACATGCTCCTAACCAGGACTCCCTTGTATCTCAATAAGCCCTTCCTGGCTTAATAAAGGATAAATAAAAGAAAATGTTTAAAATAATTAAGCTTTCCTCTGCTAGAGCAAAACAGAGCAATGAAAAAGAGTTGTGCGGTGGGGGCGGTGTGTGTTTTAGTCCCCTGGTTGTCAGCAGATGACATGGAAAGCGAGATGTTTTGGACGGAGACTTTGTTGACGTTGGCTCAGACTCTCTGGCGCAGGTAGCGAATGTTTGGCGACGCGGGGTCAAAGAGAAAGAGAGACAATGGGAAACTGCCATCAGTATTACAAATGTTTATGTGTGTGTGTTGACCTGCAGAACTTGAGCGGACGAACAATGTTTGGATTTAATCTTTATTCCTGACGTTGCATATTATCCAGAAGCAAGGGGTTGCACTACTCACAACATCGAGATTCCGCCCTTAAAAAACCTTTATGATCTTTCTTTACTATTCTGTTTGCGACGGTTTAATCTTATAAGGAACAAATGCTGACAATGAAATATATAAATGGAGAAAAACATGTCATTTTGGTGCAACCATATAACAGATGTGACTTAATGGTTAATAATAAGCTGTCACTTGCTAAATGTATTGGTGCTGTTTTGGCTTTATAAACACGTTATATAATTACTGATGCTACCATGGAAAAATAAAGTTTAGCAATCTACATTTACTTTTCTCAGTTAGTATCAGTGTGCCCTGAATTTGAAAGGTTTACATGTTTGTGCTGAAGAGGCTTTGTGTGCGTTTCCACTGCAATTCTTCTTTGTGTTTCTTTTGCACCAGCTATACACTATTCAGAGTATAGGTCTGATTTAAATTGGCAATGTGCTTTCGTGAGGATTCATTTTATCCTCAACGGCTGGACAATGAGCGCCTTTCCTCCATCTCTTGGACTTGTTTTTCCTACGAACACAGCTAATTGGGTTCACCGGGAAACTGCTGTCAGGACAGTTTTAATAGAGGAAGTAGAAGCAGAATACAAATCCACTTAATCATCCTGTAGGGAGGAAGTTGATTATTATGACAGCATGCTGCGTTTGGTTTCCTCAAGTAGTGAGAGAGAGGGGTCCCATCTTCTTATCACGACATGACGGTGTTTGTGTTTGTGTTCTGCAGGTGAACATCCTCCGAGGAAAGGATGGATTCGGCTTCACCATCTGCTCAGACTCCCCTGTGAGGGTGCAGGCTGTTGATCCAGGTGAGGTTTGCATGCACACGTCTGTGTAAATGAAGCTCAATGTTCTGGCGTGGTTTGATTTTTAAATGCTGAGGTCCTGATTGTTCTGAACTACCTCTGGGACTTTGCAGAAGGAACATCTTTCTTTCATTTTTACTGAAGAACTTGTCATTCTCCTAGCTATTCCTAAAATGATACTTCTAGAAATGTGAAAGCAGCTATAATCAAAGTGAATTTACTGCAGAAGATTGGACTGAATACTGTCTGGCTGTAAGGGATGCACTTGATTTTCACTCTCAGGACTGCCAACAGTAGATTTCTAGTTTCTAATAATATTTACAACATGAGCTTGATATAGCACACTGTCGTACCACATACACATATATATGGCGTCAAAGCAGCTGTCTGAACTGCTTTTTTTAAATCATAAATTCTTGATTCTATTGGGTATATTATGTTTAAGGTAGCTTTATTTCACATCCATTGAGTTTGACATGTGTGTCCTCTGTGGCCTAATAATTCAATTCACATAACGTGAGAAAGCTAATTCCTAAATGAATTTAGCCTCAAAAGACAACAGATCATCTTAATATCAGACAAATATTCAATAGTTTTATCCATGCAGCTATTCGCCAGTCTGTAACATGTCACCCGGAAAGAACATGAACAAAAAAAATGAAAATGTCACTCAAGAGTGTGCAATGATCTTAACTCTTCTGTCTCTTCCCTGGTGCAGGGGGCCCAGCGGATCAGGCAGGTCTGCAGCACTTGGACACCCTGCTGCAGCTAAACGGTCAGCCCGTGGAGCAATGGAAGTGTGTGGACCTAGCCCATGCTATCAGGTAATGAGTCCAACCCACCAGAGGGTCATTCAGGTCTCAGGATCAGTGATTTGTAAAGATTATCTAATGGATTTAATTTCTTGTATGATTTCATTTTGGCATCATGATCGAAATTCATTTTGATATCTGTTTCAGTACGTGAACAAAACCTGGTGTGAAAAACGATAATTCAAAGTTTGAGATTGAATTACAGTGGAAGTTTATCCATATAGTTGTATGATTCAGATATATAATAAATGATACATGTATAGATTATAAATAAAGTTATAGTTGTACATACATAGAGTAGATTCTCTATATGTAATAATTAAAGTGTCTGCAGATATTCTACAAGGTTATTTATTCTTCTTGAAAGGATTTATAAAAGTGATTTACGAATGCATGGACAGATTTGCAGTTTCAAGGTTTTTATTTATTTGAACTACTTATATTTTGTTGCTCATCATATTTATTTCTCTTTGTAGAAACAGCGGCAATGAAGCCAAACTGGTGGTGTGGCGCACGGGCCCTTCAGCTAAGCCTAATTTCGAGGGCCTCATCCATCGGCCCTCCTACAATCCGTCCACCTCAAACTATGACGCCCCCTCGCCCCCAACCCGCAGGCGCGTTCCAGATGTTGGTGCGAGTAAATCCCCCCCGGTCGTGCCGCCTCTCCCAGCCCACCACCGTGCCACCGCCTCCCGCAGGCTGCTGGTCAACGGCTCTGAAGCTGGAATGGGGGGAGGCGTAGGCATTGGGACTCTGGGTGGGTGGGGGGCCCATGGGGGGTCGGCCGAGGAGCTGGACGGGAAACCGCGCCTCCTCCACCACCCTCACACTGCCACGCTGAAGGGGACCCGCGTGAAGGCATCCAACGGGGACAACTACATCATCCTGGCCCCCATCAACCCCGGAAGCCAGGTACCACAGAGTGCTGGTGGACTGCATCTTCATCATCTCCTTCGTCCTCCTCATCCTCACCTCGGTCATATGGTGGCTCATCCTAGATATGTCTCCTTGCCTTTCATTCCCGGTGCTGATAGATAGAAGGACTGTATGTACAGCATGTCTGCGCCATTTGGGTTACTGCCCTCTCACTGATCTGTGCTTTAAGACATGTCCTGAACACAATGCACTTCAGACAGTGTCATGTAGATATGAGGTAATGCAGGAGCAGACAATAACATACAATATATGCAGCTGCTAATAATATACATGTATGCCTTTACTATGTGAAGCTTTGCCAATATTTATTTCATTACATTTGACCAATGAATCACAGTTCGTATTAGAAAGGCAATGCATATGTATGTAACATAACTTACCCTAAAGATATCATATAACATAGAAAAACAATCTGTGCGCTGCGACTCTCACATCAGCATTTTCAAACAAATAGTTCTGGCATTTGTAAAAATATATAACTCAACAAAAGTAGTTCTCGATTCAAATAGGTATTCCATTGCTGGTCCATTTCTCCGAGTGCATATCAGGGCATGGAGGTAAACACATTCTAATTACAGAGCCAGAGCGGGGGGTTATATTCCCAGGTTAAAGATGCACATTTCCGAGGAAAAACTCACAAGAGAAACTTGATTATTCTATTTGTTAAATGTCACTAGCCAATATGCTATGTTTTCTGAATAGGCCCAATTCAAGGCAATGTTTCTTCAGAGTCTTTATGTTGATAATAATATGTAAAATCATTTTATACAGCCTGTACTTATTTTTTCATCCAATGACATCATGTATATAAGGTAAAAGCTTTGATCATAACAAAATAAAGCACATTTATTCAAATCAAAAAGACTGAACTGAGTTCCTCAGCTAACAACTATGTAACACTTTGATACTAACCAATTAACAACCTCAGGCTAACCAACATTCAAAATGCATTTTTTTCTTATTACAATCTGGGTAAACCTTAGGTCTCTAAATAATTGCTTCTAAAATATTCTAACAAACTAAATCCTTTTTTCTGTCATATTTAGAGCAGGTAGTGTTATTCTTTTAATTCTCTTCCTCTGTGTCCTTCTGTAACTTGTGGTGTGTGTGTGTTTATTTGTTTGTGTCTGTGTGTGCCTCATGTCCATCTTCATCTGTGAGTGCTTCTCAGGTTGGGGTTCAGTTAAGGGACATTGTTGTGCATGTCAAAGAAATTGAGCTGTCCCACATGACAAGATGAGATTGATTTTAAGAAGGAAGAACATAAATAGATTCAGAGAAATAAAAATATAAAGTGTATAGTAGTTTGGTCAGACTCTGGAAAAAGATAGCAGGTGCATGCCAACATAGTGAACAAACATTCAAACCGCCACCAAACAAATGAGGGGGGAGGGATTTGGTGCGATAGTGTGGCTAAATATACCCAAAGCTTGTTGTCTAATAGCACTGACAGTACTTTAGGTGGTAAGCCCACACTAGAGACACATTTATAATGAGAAGCTGAGAAAAGCAAGCTAATGATACGAATACCCTAACATTTTGTGACTTTCCAACCACTAGCTCACTTACTGTCTTAATCTGCACAACGTGGGATGTAGAGGCCATCTTTACAGTTGACTGTTATCTGTTATGACATGGAGAAACCTCCACTGAATCGCTGAATCTAGCACAATTCAAATGAGCTCAGCTGTGTCCTAGACACTAAAATGCAATGTCAATTAAGAAACTTCACATGATAATGTCCAGTTTCATCCCTAAAGACAAACTTGTGGCATAGTGGGATTTTTGAATAAGGATATGCAGTGTGTTTAATGGCAACCCTGCGTTTCAAGTCTCACGCCATACAAAGTTCAAATCAGAATTGTATTAGGAATATTATTACATGGAAGTATCTATTCATTATTTGAATAAGGACATGGTGTCTAATGTCATTATGTCTTGGCTTTATGACGGAGCTTAGATGTCACTTTTCGTAGTGCCTAAGCCTATTTAATAATAATGTCATTTAATATTATTCTGCTTTCAGATCTTGAGGCCTGTTTACCAAGACAACCAGGGGACATTAGGTAAGACATGTTATTACTCATACATCATTTTATTAAAGGGCACAGTGAACAGTGTCTTGGTGGAAAGCCTTTGTTTCAGTTGGCTTTGGTGCCTCTTTTTGTTGGCTGTAGCCCAGAATGTTAATCTACTTTTTTACTTAACTTTACAGGGTATTGTTATTTTAATTAATGTGGGTTTGGCCCCCTGAAACAGCCTTAAATGACCCTTTAAACTCAAATTAAACTTTTTCAGTTTGAATCCAGTTTTCCCAATTGACTAGAACAAACCTTTTAATGCTATTTTAAGTAAATGTTTGCCATGTTTTGATTTCTTCTGAAAACTGGCCAATATAACAGCTTAACATATAAATGATGCATAAACTGTCTTGTCCAAAAGGATTTAGCACTATAAGGTAAACACAAGTCGAGCAGAGGATTCTACTTTGGGGACTGAACACACTCATGCTTTTTTTAGCCACTCCTTTTCTGTCTTTTTCTGGTAAGGATAAAGTATAGACGCAGTTTGTCTCTCTTCCTTTTGTTGCTCTTCATTTTTGTGATTTTTATTTTATTAACAAACAAGATATCATTTATTTAGTGAGCTGCTGTGGTGTTGGTATGTAGATTTTGTTACCGTTCCACAGAGCCCGGCTATGTTTATTTGTTGTTTGCAGTTATGGCTAAACTTCTCATAGCTCCATCCTCGTATAGGCATGCTGATACTCGAGTGGTATCCTCTCATATCTATCCCTCTTAATAATAGATCATTACTGACACTCCACAGGTAGCGCCAGTAATGATGCTGGACAGGATGTAATCTTTGTCTTCACCCTCACTTGCTCACGTTCTTCATTTTCCACAGCCGGCAGGTTATACCCACGGCAGGGCTCTGGCCCACAGCCCCAGAGCAGTGCTGGTGGAGGTCCTAGTAGTAGTAGTAGTAGTGGAGGAGGAGGAGGAGGGGGTTTCTCCAGCCGAACTGGCTTCCTACGTAGGTCTAACAACTCTAAGACAACAAAGACAGCATCCACCTCCACCAACGCCGGTGCACCCAACTACCAGCAGCAGAATGCTAACTTTGCCAATTACCAGAACTGCACCATCGTCCGCTCACACACTCCACATGCCAACTACGGATATGTCAAAGTGGCTCCCAAGATCCTCATCTTCCCCATCTTTGTTCAGGTAAGCCAATGATTGGAAAAGCCAGCCAACTGTTTAAAGGTTTGATGCTAAGCTGAGCTAACTTGGTCCTGGTTGTAAATGCTTATTTGAAAGTCAGGCATAAGGTCAAAAGGAATGAGCTTATCTCCCAAAATCATACTAGTTTGGTAGAGTCAAAGGCCTGGCCGCTTTAAAACTTTGGCCGTACTGTAGCGGCTATATGGTATTCATCTAAAACCATTGGTACCCATAATGCTCTAAAAAACAGTCAGACAAATCTCTGCTGAACATTTGGGTCAAATAAAATACTTTTGAGGTTTGGAGTGAAATACATTGACCTTTTTGCTTCTGCATTTTGTTTTGCAAGTCATGCAGTGTTGTTTTTGTGGAGAATACAGCACTGTGGTTATTTTTCAAATAACCAGAGTGCTGGTAATTAATATTTTAATACATTACAAGGCAATTAGACTTTGTATTTATTCAGATGACAGTTCTTTTTATATTTCTCATATACATTCTGTATGATCTGTCCACCTTGTATATCTAAATATAGCTGTGTACAGAAACACTTTTCGTTTCATATATTCTTCATATGGTAATCGGAATAATCTAGTTTCCTGAGGAGGGATAGTCCAAGTTAGGAAGGCAAGTCATGAGTCATATGCTACCATTTCTTCATATACACAGGCAGTATACCCATGCTACAGTGAATATATTTTTGAAAATGTGAGATAAGTTAGAGCAATGCATTTTGCACCTCCTGCAGTATCTACAAATTGGCTTCTTGAGTTCTTTAAGTCTATTCCCTGTTTTGAAATGCAGTGACTGTGGTGGTACTTCCTGTTAACTCATATAGAAACATGCAACTCTGACCCTACTTCTCACAGTATGCAAATGTGACACATGCATATTGAATTAACCCACCCTGTACTTGAGAGGAAGTCGCCTCCTCCTGTGTTACAGTTCATTTTTAGTGTCATTCTCAGACCACATGTCGCCGCACAGTTGTTTCAGTTGTGTTTCTCACGGCAGTTAGACGACTTAGTGTTCAGAAGATCATTTGGATTTTGAGTGCCAACATGGATTTGGTATTACAACCTCAGGTTTTACTTTTTAAATCTACAAAAAAACAATATTCTAAGATTTGTATCTTAACACAATGCTTAACATATATCAATGATTTTGATGATTAGGCAATGGTTATCATATAAGTAACATGTGCTTGTGGTCATTGATAACTATCTCATCAGATATATCAATAATTATGAATAAACCTTAAAACTATCTTCAAAAACCTTGTTCCTTAATCTGACTGTGTAACTTCTGTGTCATTGATCTTCTTCCAGCCCCTCGACCTGTGCAGCAGAGCGCTCATCTTATCCGAAGAGATGATACTCCATGAGAGCAAGCACCACTCGCTCAAGGTGAGAGGCAACAGTGTGTGTATGATGTTTACATATGTGTATATCCTTGCCTATGCTTGTGATGTGAGAATATACATTCATTTCAATACAATAGAAACGTTTTTTGAGCTGGTGCTCCGTGTAGAAAGCACAGTTTTTCTTTAGCTCTTTCTTCACTTTGCTTCTGCTCAGGAATCTCTGTCGTTGACCACGGAACATCCAAACTGTAAGCAGGATATGATCTAAAACTCATTTTAAGAAATGACCCTGAAAGGCACATGATTGGATTTTGTTGATATGTGGAAAGAAAATGTTATTTCCGCAATCGTCTTCCGAAGCGTTTCATAATTTGATTGATCCAGAAAGATTGAGGCTCTTTCCTCTCCAGTCTTTTAAGGTTGCAGGAGACAGAATGACGAGTGGCAAACATTTTACTGGTTTGTCACAACCAGTTATGTTGTTTGTTTATTTGGCCAAAATGGAAGTGACGGTCCATTGACCCAGTGCTGATCTCAAGTCAAAGCTTGTGTATGTTTAAGAGTTATGTATGTACTTGCAAAGAGAAAGCAAGTGAGGAGCAGTTTGTGAGAGGAGATGTCTGAACATCTCTGAAGAATTTGTAACTGCTCTGAGCTATCAGACCAATGAGTCGATGAATGAATGAATAATTGATTAAAGAGCAGAGTGCCAAAGATCTAGCCGAGGGAGAAAATCTGTTTTATGTATCAAAGGAACTCTCTCAGAATATATGAATGATTCTATCACAGTATTTTAAGCTCACCTTGCATAATCTGTATTATAAATTAAAAATGGAAAATGTGTAATATATTTGTATTAATTATACTTGTTATTTTCGAAGTTTTAAAATATAGATATGTATACTGTAACAAGTACTTAAATGTTGCCGGTGTCAGAAATACAGAAGTAGCGGTGTTTTATGTGCTTTACCCTGTAGGGTTTAACTGCATGTTATGCTTCAAAGAAAATGAAGTGCTGTACAGCAGAGCCAGGTCCGCTAATGTAATCTTATCTAATTGATCAAATATTACTGTATTTCAAGCTAACATTAGCCACGTTATTCTAACTTTATTTACTTTACAAATATTTGGATTATCTTGATACGTGTTCAGCTGTATTTTCCCTAAAAAGAAAAACTTGTGACCCAGGTTAAGTTTAATGTTTTGGCAGAAGCTAAAGTAAGAAAGTTAATCACACGAGGAGTGGAGATATGTTTCTGAAATTTGAGGTTTTTGGAATCAGTGTTGCAACTCATGGAATCCTGTCTGACATCCAATGCTCTAAGAAAGTATACCAATTAGAAAGAGAACAGAAGGATCACTTTTTGAAAGAATTAAGCTTTTGCTACAGTTGTTAATTCCCCCTGTCAGATCCTATTTTCTGTGCAGTGAAGTGAAGTGACCGCTGGCATGGAAGGTAATCTGGCCTCTCGGGGGTCAGTCATAAAACAAATATTTAACAGCCAGTGTTTGTCAGGAGGGAGTTTCTCTCCACTGCTTTGTGCGTGCTGTTTTTAATGATCAGCTAGTGTTGTTCCAGCTTTAAACCTTAACCCAGGAGGCTATCACACAGACTCTCTTGTTCACACAAACATCTACAACTTTCCTTATGATATCTGAACAAAAATAATGAGCACAGCATTGCAATAACTTGATATAATCTAAAGTGACATTTGGACAAAATGGAATTTTAGTGGATTAAATAATGGCAATACTTCAAAGTGACATTTGGCCATAACAGCTTTAAGTGGATTAAGTTGTGTGAATAGAGAATAAGACAGCGATTGAATAAACATTCAACAAAATTATTTTTGAAAGTGAATATATAAATACAAAACCAATATTTATTAAAACACACTATGCACCATTATCATTCATCATTCATGCTCCCTTGACCGGGATGGCTACCTTTATTTTACATTTGTTATTCTCTATCAAGGTTGTGTTTTTAAAAACTTTTGCGCTCTTTTGGTCATTATGTGTTTGTTGTTTGTCTGTGTATGCATTTAAAGTGTGTGTGGTTTCCTCTGTGTGAACATTCTCTGCTGCTTGCCTTTCATTCGTCACTTTGTCCTCGCCTCTGTACTCTTACTTACATCCTCTTCCACCCACACAAACCTACACACACACCCTTACCACATACTGGTTTCATCTAAAATACCCACTCTGCTATCTCACCCTTCAGAGGAAGCCACCGAAGCCAAAGCATTGTTTTCAACCGTTGCCCATCTACATCAATTACACCCTATTCATGTTATTTGGCATGAAACCACACATGTTTATAAGCTACTTTTTATACTCATATCTCTTTTTTTCCACTTAATGCTTAGTTCCTTCATTATTCTCAATGTCAGTGTTTTACTGGCATGCCCTGCTCACTGAGCCGCCTCAGAAGCATAAAGGCAGTCATGGGCTGCTGTGACGTGTTGCAAATCTCTCTCTGAAGTAACAATCTGACGTTTGTGTGTGGACTAAAAGAGTCTATACTGTAAGTAATTAGATTAAGGCCTTCTGCCTCTTCTGCACACTGACAGCAATTCCTCTCATAGCGATTCATCATCTTTGACGGGGATACTGGGGCTACAGTAAATGAGATTAGTGTCTTGAGTTTGATGGAAGTGTGGGAAGGTACAGTATCAACAACGTTACAAGAGCAGACAGAAATTAAAGGACAAAAAAATCAAGTAATATTGAATAATGCCCTGCTATTAAACTAAATGAATTGAAAAAGTGTTATGACAGTATAGTAATTATAAAAAACTGGATAGGCTTTATTTGCAGTAATATTAATATAAAGCCATTGATTACTTGATCAATTAACATGACATTATAATTGGCATGATAACAATTACAATTTTTCTAGAAAACCCGGCGCCATTTTACAATCTTTAAATCTAATTAGAAACTTGCAGGGATACTACAACAATAATCTTAATGATTGAATGAAGCAACAATATTTCCAGTCCAAAGAATTCAAATGTATTTATTGAAGTTTAAACACATATATACATTATGTATTTATTTATGTATTTATTTTCAAAAGGCTTATACATGTTTTACTAGCAGTTGTAACACTACATGAAGTTTAATCAGAGTTAATAAGTAAAATAACTGACTAGGTCAGTATATCAAGGCACCAGTGTAACATGCAACAGGTTCCCAAAGCAAACTGTGGCTTTATGGGTTCGTTTGGCCATAATTGTGTAACTGTGAACTGCATTTCCTGTGTTGAAGAGGTGACTGAAGAGTTTTGGTATGTGTTAGGTGGTGTTATTCACACTTTTGCAGATCATATGTGATAACTTCAAAGCACTAGTGAGACCTTGTCAGAGTGGTGTTTGAAACTCAGTATTTTTCTCATTTTGTCTCTTCATTCTCCTCCTCTGCTCTTGTAGGTCACAGTGTTTGTGTACAGTGACCTGATGCTGGTGACAAGAGAAGACGAGCCCGGCAGGTGTAATGTCCTCCAGAGTCCGCTGTTCCTCCGGCAGCTCAGGCTCCAGGACGGTATGTACGCCCCTTTTTTGCACCCGTTTCCAACATTTGTTAAAGTCTAAGATGTCAAAATTGTTAAAGGTGACCTATCATGCAAAATGCACTTTTGTACGTCTTTTATACATGAATATGTGTCCCCCGGTGTTCCAGGGAACTCACCAAGTGTCAGAAAACACAACCCTCTCTATTTTCCTCCATACCCAAATCTCTTAAAAAGGGGCTGCAACGGATCTGATACAGACTGATCTAGATTTGAACACTTCTGTGACGTCATAGAAGTGGCGTTACGGCTATTGGGCCAACTCCACCAATCAAGGGGAGACAGCCACGGACATTGTCGTTCGAAAGCGCTGGAGACGCTGTAGTACATATGCCAGGCCTGTAGATGGTGCTGTTCTCACAGAATCAGCCCATGCAAAGACAGTGTTACATTGAGAGAAATAAGGAATGGCTAAAATGCATGATCTGTATTTTGAAAAATAAAAAGTATAAATATGCCTTACATAGGTATGGTCCTACACTATATTATTCAAATATAGCATGATAGGTCCACTTTAAGGTGACAAATTCATGTTACTATATCAACACCTTCCTTCAAAGTCCTGAAAGAACTCGGCAATATGTAAATATATTTCACAATCTTATCTGTTACCTTGTTACAACACTTTAACAGTTACACACAAAAGGCAAATGAAACACTTGTACCCACAAATTACACAACTAAAAATAAGCAGACAGCCCCGTGATTACAGGGAATCAGTTGAACTTAACCAGAGGATATTTAGGGAAAAACGGGCAAAGTTCCTGATGCTTTGTCTTTTTATGTCACCACAGTGTAAACAACCATCTCCTCTAGCGTTAAGGAGAGAATGGCTTGGCTCTCAGGGCCACACAGAGCATAGAGCTTTCAAATAAATAGGGCTCCCTGTAAATATCTCTGTTTAGAGAGGTGGGCGGAGACGGGGGGCAACGTTTAGAGTCAGTGTTGGGTCAGAGGCAGAGGAGAGGAGGTACACCAATATTTCTTCAAATTCATAAGTCCAGGTGGGAGAAACAGTGAAAGCCAATCTCTCCTCCAGCTGTTGGTGTCAATAGCTGAGTGACAGTAAATAGGATTTAACAGTGGGTAGTGGTGTCGGGATTATGTGGTTGATTTAGCAGCATGACAGGTGTTAAAAGGATGTTGAGCTAGGACCTTGTCCACTCTGTCCAGCAGAATATTGACTGTAATGGCAGTGTTCACAGTCAGTGTGAGTGTAGGGGGAGACCACTGTGTGAAGTCATTGATTGGAAATGTAAGTACCCATTCAAATAAATGCTGCTTTGGGTGATTTATAGGCGTTTTATGGCATTTTATTTGAGGTCTCGGTACAACCGTCAATAGATAAAGCCCCCTAGATAGATAGATGGATAGATAGATACTTTATTGATCCTAATTTGTGAAATTCTTTAATTTTACAGGTGTCATGGAAGCGTGACTACCCCTGACACCTTACAGTAAATCCATCACAGTATCCAGTGATAATATTGTTCTTCAGAAAACTAGTAGTAACGTTGGCCCCTTCAGTCTTTTGGTGAAGAAGTTTATAATGTATCGTCACATTTTTGTCTATTTATAATTTAGTCGGAATGCTGTTAACAGCATTCCAACTAACTGTTCTTCTACGGACGAAAAGTTTTTATTATTCCGCCGACTTATTTTGCCGCGCTTCTCCTCCCGCATTGAACATCGCAGAAACTCCGTTCGAACATCAAAACGTTCAGCTCGGTCGGGAATCGATGGCTATTACTTTTCTCATTCATAACTTTCATAATCCCAGAGTTCTATTTCGTATATGGCTTCGCCCTCTAAGGCTATCGCTAT